TACAAAAAGAGGTGGGTGGTCGCGAGCGGTTAGAGACAAACGTTCCGCGGGTAAGAGACACTTCTTACGTCGTGCTTGAGCCACGGAACGACACCAGAAGGTGTGGTTGGAAGCCGATGACAACCGAGAGAGGCCAAAGCCGCATAAGACGCTAAGTAAGTCCTCAGAAAAATTTTCCTCACGAAAGATGTGAGAATTCTTCACTGGCCAGTCTCGACTGATGAACTCTCTTATCACTATGACGAAATCAGAATGGACCCCTTTTATATCTTCAGTATTATTTGCAAATTCCACGACGCTAGAACTGTCGACTTCAGCCTTTATCCGACGATACCCCAAGCTCCATGCTAGGTTAAGGCAATGGAATAATCCCCATACCTCTGGTCCAGTTATAGAGCATTCCCCAATGTTCATCATGAAGCCACCGAGTCATTGGCCATGGGAGTCGCGAAGCAACCCTCTTGGAAAGGTTGTACTTGAGGGTCTATTATGGGCTTCGTCTGAGTTTACCTTTATCCATGAATTTGGCAGTGGTTCCCATCGGACAAGGCGCAAGTTGTCCCTATACTACCAATCTTCTTTATCCTTCATCAAAGTGTAACACACTACTGACAAAAGCTTTGATTTCATTCACTTTACTAAACGCATCCATCGCACCCATTTTGGGTCTTCTTTTTTTATCTAAAAAAGCGCGGGTCTCATTTTGTTTTGTACGCTAGGTAATTAATTTTGTGGTACTGAATATTAGTTTTTTGTATTTTATTGATAAAGTATGAAATCGAATTATTTGGTATACTATATATTGATGCAATATACTTGCTTATTTTAAAAAATGGTGTATCAATATTTTTTTTTCTATATTTGTTAAGCATTTTACTCTATACTAATGAAAGAAAAATTCAGAGAATATGGTCGATACTTCTTTGTAAATGTGCATGACACATCAAATCTTCTTGGTATATATATTTATTTAAATCGATCATTCTATTTAAATTATACAATATCATTCACACGACTTAATAAATCAAATATTTAGAGTATTTAACTAAATTATATTTGTTATTCCCCTATAGATAGCTATTTTTTAACCATTATTAGTAGCTATCTGTCCTTCGTTTGATTTCGTTTTCTATATTCAAGTATCAAAATTTATCTTTTATTTAAATAATTATGAAGTGCGAATTCGGTTTGATCAAGAAAGTCACTAGAACCAAGAAACTAACTATGAAGTTGCGAGCTATTTGAATAGTTCAAAATAAATTTGCTCCTGAATACAAAAATTACTTAGAAATTATGTATCATGATGAGGAGGTGAGAATAAATAATTCATTTTTAATTCTTTTTTTTTTCTTTTTTTTTTTGTATTCGTTATTTTTTTAAATAGACATGTTTTACGTAAGTTTGCACAATTTAAATTTTACTAGTACAACGCCCGTGTATTACACGGGTGCTTGCTAATTTTTTTTTTAATCAAAAATTAATGGAAAAAAGTAGTTGAAAATTTAAATACCTTTTATAAAAATATATATATTATTATATATTTAGTATGACACTTTTTATTTGTACAACTTACATGTGTTATATTATAATAATTTTTTTAACTTACAACATATAACTACATTAAACATAAATATATCAATTGAGAAATAATTTTATTTTTCTAATAAATTTTAATAAATACTATTATTTTTTTTATTATTATATATATAAATATAGTTTATTTATTTCATATATACAATATGGATGTCAAATCGAAGATCATCAAAAGATGATTAATTTGATATATTATAAATGTAAAACCGATACGAAATACAGAAGTTATCGACTTTTAAAATACATTTATAATTCAATAGCTAATTGAAGGAAACAAATCAAAAGTCAGAGACATATTATTAGTCACTTAGTGCCTCAGTATGTAAAATTACAAAGAAATAAAGGGTTATATTAGTACAAGTGATATTAAAATACCTGAGTTAGCTAAATAATATTTATGAAATGTCCAAACCTAAATTTTTAATTATTAATATATCAATATTATTTGTCCAAACCTAATTAGGAAGCATGATTTTTTCCCAAGTAGGATTCCGAAGCACCAGAAACAGCCACGTAGGCTCAGCGCATTCTGGAATAATGTATAGGGAGGATATAACATTTTTAAAATAAATGTAGTTAAATTGCATCACATGTTTACTCCATATTTTGAATTAGACATGAGAAATTTTAATAATATTAATGAACGTCCTAGTTAATTTTCAAGCACACGATTATATATATACAGATTTATTGACAGTACGATGTCGTTTAGACAATGTACTCCCTGCAACTGCCCTTAAACCCTTGTTGCACCCAAACCCATCCAAAACATTTCAAACGCATTATGAGATGAACAAACGATTCTTATAATCAATCTCATAGTACTACTGTGGAAAAGAGAGAGAAAGATGTCATCTTTGATATTGAGAAGATCATGGAACAATAGATCACCTCACGCCCCGACCCGTTTGTTCCTCCGTTTACTGTCATCTTCACCCGATTCCCAATTTCAGTGTGCCCAAATTAGCGGCCATAGCCAGTCCGTTTCAGCTCCTGTTCACGCATTTTGGGCTAAGAAAAATGACTGGCCATCTTCGCATTTGAATGATCACTGGAATATCTCCCGCGGGCTACGGTTCTTGAGCTCACAGGCGGCTGCTGCTGCTGCTGAGGCGGCATCCACTTGTGATGGGCTGACGGTGGAGGGGATTATTGCCAATAATTGGGTGATTTATGATGAGAATGAGAGTGATTGGAAGAGTCACGCCTCCGCCATTGCTCAGTCCATTCACCTCATCAAGAAACGCTTAAGAGTATGGCTTATGATTTGTTCCATTTTTTGTTATATCTGAGTTTTTCATTATTTAGTTTTTAATGAATTGAATTTTTATTTCGAGTACCGTATATGTTGGATGAGCATATATTCTATTATCCCTAATGGCATTTTTTTTTTTTT